ATTAATGAAAGTCCGCTGGTGCTTCAGTGACTACCTCGCACAGAGAACCTGTCAATCACAGATGTCAATCATGATGTCAGAGCACTGTTTATAGCATAACTAAAAACAACTTTATTTTAAAAACGAACACTTGAAATTACATCAACGTGACAGAAACTACAGTAAATGACAGAAACTATCTTTGGAAAAAGGAAATGTTTAGTGTAATTGAATTGTTTAGTTGGTCTCGCGTCCCATTGAATAACATGGGCAGGTGGGGTTTATGAGCTATACTAGGACCGGCCACTGGGGGGCGATCCAGACGTTTTGACTTCACTTTTGAGGGGTTGTGCGGCACGCTTGGTTCTTGAAGCTCTGACGTCATTGACCAGAAGAACAACAGCAGCGGCGGCGGCCACGCCCATCAGCGCAGTGACGACCAATCGCAGCACAGCTTCAACAGAATCGCAGCAGGGGGCGTGGCTTTCTGGAGAAACGAATGAAACAATGATAGATTAAATTGAGATTTTCAACAAGCGTACTTTAGTCTTTCATGAATTTAAAAATGTCTAATTTTCTGCTTATAAAACAGTAAAAGTTAAGAACAGTTAAAAAAAACATGAGATTACAGAAGCCCATTCATCATGTCTGACATCGATGAAATCAACACATTAGTGAATTAATGTGATTAATATAATCATTGCTGCTGTACCTGCAGATGTGTTAAAGAGTTGAGCTGTGACTGGTTGTGAAGTAGACTGACTGTCCATTTCTGTAATGATGAAGAAGCCTCAGGTCAACAGAAGACTCAGGTCAGTAAACACACACACACACACACACACACACACACACACACACACACACACACACACACACACATATATCATCAGTGCTGCTGTACCTGCACATGTGTGGCAGAGTGTGTTGATGTCCAATAATTGAAAAGACACTGTTGACTTCTTGAGATTTTGTTCAGTAATTTGTCTCTGTACAGGCCGCCATGCTAGATTTGAGTTGAATGACATCTCTGGAGATTTTACTTTGTTATAGAAGTTACCAGTGTGATCACTGAAATGATCTCTTCATGTATTCTCTAATGTAGTGCTTGCTCATTTAGCCCGACTTCCAGAAATGAAATATGGACTTGTTTTGTGTCTGTTTTTACAAAAATCAGACTCAAACTTATCAAAGATATGAGAATCCAAAACATTTTTTAGCCGGTTCACAACAAACTTTTCTAGAATTTTAAAGGTGGGTGGGATTTTAGGGTGGGACCTTGAGTAATTTGCAGGGCCTTATGCAACTAAAGAAATTCCAGTCATGCAAATGGGATTTACTTAAAACAGATGTCACGTAAAACACACAAACTTTGTAGGCCTATGTGTAGCCGGTGAGGGGGTGAGGCCAGGTAGAGTGTTTTTGAGCAGGCACCTGAAGGGAGGCCTATAGAGAGAGGTCCAATCTTTTGTCTGGACCAAGATGGCAGCACATCCTCGTGTGTTGGTGCACAGATTCGGTCTGGGTGAGTGTTAAGCGAATATTGGCTATTTGGTTTTATATTACAAAGCTTTTATTCACTGAATTAGATGTTTTAAATGCAGACACAAACTCTGTGTTGCACATGTCCATGTTTGTTTGTGTGTGAGCATGGTCTGGTGAGCAGGTGGACTGGAAAAACAGAGATTGTTTTGTTTCATATTTATGAAGTCTTGTTTTACTAAATTAGGCAAATGTTTCTAATGCAGACGCAAACATTGTGGATTTGTAGGCCGGTTAGTACCTCAGTTTCTATTTTAATCTTGGAAATTACTCCAGTGTTGGTGGCTGTGTTAAGATTAGATAAGGTTAATTAAGTCAAGTAAAGATTGAGTATTCTAAAACTTAAATACTAATGTGAAAACTGCTTGTGTGTGTGTGTGAGTGTTAGGGGTGGTACTTCAATTTACTCAATTAATTTATTAATCTCATTTACTTCTAAATTTCAGCATTAACCAGAAATAGAATTTAATCTAATCTGCAGTTACAACAACAAATAAATAAATGTATTTCATGATTTGCTGAAAATATTGTGTAAATGTGGTGGTAAAAGTTTAATGACTTAAAAGTTGGACCAGTTAGACTTAAAAACTTGATCATAAGTCTGTCCTAACAATGATTGGAGAAGTTACAGTTCAGTTTTCTATTCAAAATAAATGAAGCTGAATTTTTGAAGAAGTTCTCTATTCTATAAAAACCTTTATGTTGATCAGTCTACTGTAATATTGTTACGGTATCGTTGTACTGGAAGCACGAGGAGATGAAGAATAGCAGAAAACAGGATCTTTAATAATCAAAACTAAGGAACCACAATATCCAACTTTACATAAACGAGAACGGACCAGGAGTGCGGAGAACACAGGGTTTAAATACACCAGAACAGACTAGGGGAACAAGGCACAGCTGGGGCAAATGAACTAGACACGTGAAGGAACTGAAAACTGACGAGGAGCGGGAAAACTGAGACACAGAACTAAACCAAATACACAGTGACGGGGGAAACTCAGGACACACATGTAACAAATATGTCTGTAAATGGAGAAAGTTCAGCACTGCTTCTCTGATGATGAAATAGCAGCAAAGACTCAAAAACTTAAAGCCACAATATGTATTTTGTTCTGCTTTAAAAATAGCAAAAATAACTGTATCTATGTTATATATTTCTGTTAGATGTGTACTTGCATTATTCCGACAGTTTCCACCAAATTTCAAATACGGAGAAATTTATAGTTTAATTCGAAGACACGGGACGTTTCTTTATTTCCGTTTCGTCGCCCGTGTATGGCGTCATATAACCTTTGACTCCTCTATTTTCTCTTAACTTCCTTGCGGAACCTGGCGAAACCGCCAAACACAAAGGGGAACACTGGACTACCACCAATAAAGCAAAGAAAATGACGAAGAAAAAAAAGTAGTACATATTTTTATGTGTGTAAATCACGTGCCCGCTCACGAGCGCTCACTATTAACAGACTGTCTCCGGTGCTGCTCGCGCATAAAGCGCTCCCCGTTCACAGTAACCAGGTCGTCTCATTCAAATCAGCCAGCTGTTGCTGTTAGCGAGCCGCGCACATTAAATACTCATATGAGTCAGGCTGCGAATGTAAGTTACGTGCCCGCTTCAGCGCGCTCATGCTTACTAAATAAACGCCTCACCTCCGGCGCCGCGCACTACATTCCCTTTAGCCTTTAGCACATAGTGGATGCATAACGCAAACCCAGTCAAACGTTTGACTGCAGTATCTTATGTGCTTTATAATCCGGTTCTGCTGCTACAGCCAGCTCATTAGCTAAAGCTCAAAGTACGGGTGAAAAATATGACGCGAGAAGGGTTTGGGACAGGAGAAGCATGACACAGGTAAACATTGGCGTTGCATTTAAAGCTTCTTGACAAGCTAAATCTACAGAGATGCCGTATATCCGTATATTTTGTGAAACGATGATGTCATGTCATGAGCTGAGCTGGTTGTCATTGACAGCGACAACAACTCCCGTGAGCCCACGCTCCTTCCCGACGTCATCAAAGTACGTCTTTTGTTATTATTTTAAACGAGTGACCCCTGGTGGCCAAAAATCGCATACTGTACGTTTAATCTCTGAAGGAAAATCTGCTTATTTCTAAACTAATAGAGCATAGAAGGACAGTAGACAGATGGAGCACGAGAGAAAATAAAAAAAAATAAAAATAAAATCACATTCTGAAATTGCCTATTTTAGCCTATATAATAATATTCTATTAATAAAAAGTTATTCGTAGAAAAATGGTGCAATAATTCTCCTAAACAAATGGGTTGCAAATACAGAAAATATTTGGTGGAAGTGACTGAAGCCAGAGGAGGAACAAACATTTATAAAATCGGAGTAATTTTGTTGAATGTGTTTGTCTATAGTGTGCTTAATCGTTGACTGTTATTTCGATTAGTCCAACACCTCTTTAGCATTTTAAAGATTTATAACCTATACCATACCTATATCATTTTAAGCTACCCAATCAAACTCTGTGCAGAGTGTTAAATGAACAGCGAAGCAGTCTTAAAGTTAATGAGATAATTAAGTGATTAATTGAGTGATGATTGAGCATTATTGAAGACACCTGATAACAAGCAGAATCTCTGAAGGAGGAAAAAGTCACCATTATGGTGATCAGTGTTTGCTTTAGCTGGGCTCTTGACCCTTACATAATTAGCTTTATATATATTTAAAATAAATAAATAAAACAAGAATTGGGGAAACTTCTTAGAAATAACTGCTAATAGTCGCTATAGCATGGAAAAAACTTACTGTAAAAATGTGCACATCATTAAATGTGCTGTGATTCTGCAAATGTTCTTGCTTAAAGTGCCCCTATATGCTTTCTAGTTTTGTTTTGTTTTGTGGACTCAATAGATTTACATGCATCCGATGTCAAAATAAGAAAAAAAACAGTTTAATTTTGAACATGATCATCAGATAATTTCTCAAAGAGGCTGAAAACTGTTTTGTGGCGAGCAGGACGAGGCCGTGGAGAGATTAATGATGAGCGACGCACCGGTCTCGTATCTCTCACGGCCCTCGTCCTGCTCGACACATGTTTGATCACAGATTCATTCTCTATAAACCCAGACTGATGTGATTGGTCTCCTCTGAACATCTGTTCACATATCCTCAGTGTGCAAAATAAACAGAGATACAGTAATTCGTCATATCTGCACCTGGCCATTGCTTGCATGACATTCATTTGGAGTGAGCTTTATGAGCTTTATGAGTTTCAAATATTATGAATGTATGATTGACAGGTGTGAATTATCCATTATTGACACTAAAGTTAGGAGCTTTTCTCATGCCAGTTTTCAGTGTTTTAGAAGCAAATGGATTAATATTTAAAATGTAATTACAGTGTCAGAGAAATTTCTAAGATCACAAATAATTTAAAACATTTTTATTGTGTAGTATTGAGAAGAATTATGATAATAAAATGCCCCTTCTGTAATACAGTATATAATAGAGAGAGCTGTGTTTCTCTACTCACCATAGACAGTAACAGTGAATCTGTGTGTAGACGATGAGCTGCTGCTGCTGATCTTAACTTCATAAACTCCAGTATGATTATTTGTGATGTTCATGATGGTCAGAGATCCAGTCTTCTTGTCCAGCTTCAGTCTGTTTCTGAATATCCCATCAAGAACATCAGAGATCGTATTTTTCACTCCATCAGTTTCAGCTATAAGACTCCCGTTAGGTCCAAATTTCCAGAATATATCATCACCGTTCTGTATTTCAGTGAGATCAGAGTTTAGAGAGACTGAATCTCCCTCCATCACTGACACTGACTTCAGTTCATCTGTACCAGCAAACACTCCTGAAGAACACACAGAAACAGTCTCTCACACACACTTTCAGCTGTTTTGGTGAAGCATTTACTGAAGTTTGAAGTGGTTTTGAAGTTATTGAAAAAGTTGAGTTGAAATGAAAAAAGATGGAAAGAGTGGAGAACATTATTCTCATTATAGTTTTGAAATTATTTTTAAAAAATTGAGAAGGTATAAAGATAGAAAAAAAGATGGAAAGAGTGCAGAACAGTTACTGAACCTCTTCTTATATTGTACACTTTTATTTTAGTGTTTAGAGTTACACGAGTGAATTTCCAGTGAGGTGGAAGTAAAGTTCATTAGAGCGACTACATACACAATATGCAACTGTAAAAAATGATAAACTTGTCTAACTTACCAACCAGACAGCAACAGCACAAACAGCAGAAAGCAAATGAGTGAAACATTTTCAATAGTTCAGCGGTCTGAAAGAGTGTCAGTCAGTCTGAAAACCTGTGTGTGTGTGTGTGAGTGTGTGTGAGTGTGTGTGTCTGCAGTGAAGATGTGTAGAGAACAAGTGTCCACAATCTGAACTATTTGCTAACTTCCTCCAGACTGAATTAGGCCACGCCCCCTGTCTCCAAACACACGCCCTCTCTGAAACCCCGCCCCCCAATGTTGTGTTGTGTATTCTTCTGCATCATTAGGTGATGTTTGTTTTTTTCAGATCTTTTAAAGATGAATCTCAGTTGTTTCAATATTTCTCAGTCATACTAGATTAACCTTTCACAATGTTCATATTCATGCTAAGAATAGTTTAAAATCAATGAATTGACTTATTTCTTATTGCAGCTTTTCATGATTTTAACAAGTGTTCCCATTTGTCATACATCTGACTTTTCTAGATCAGAAATTTGAATATGAATATACAAGGTCCAAGAATCTGACCGGACACTGATCACCATTGTGGTGACTTTAAAACAAAACAGTGGTGAACAATTACATTTCTTATATTCACAGGAAGAAAAATCCATGGCAGCACAGCGTGCCAAACGTTTACCATTAATGAAAATTAATAAATGAAAAAACAGTTGAAAAATCTGAAGTAACATGAGTAAACTACTTCAGATGTTGACAGCACATTAGATGGGGTCTGTATATCTCGGGAAGTTGAGTTCCTGGTCAAGAACACTAGATGGCGCTCTAGTACACTATGTGTCCTGATTGTTGTAGGTACACACTTAGATTAATAAATCATCAAATAAATCATCCACTGTATGAATGAATTTACCATTTAAAGATGAAGATAAAAATGGCTTACCATGGATAATTATTTTTCGTTTATCAAAGCATCATTTGGTTGTAATATCTTTAATATGAAGAATGATAATTGTGAATCTTGGCACAGTTTAGCCTGTAAGAATACGTTGTTCCCCTAGAGGTCAAATTATGTCATAGTTTAATTTTTGAGTGTGTTTACAGCTCGCACATCTAACAGTTGAAGTGAAGTGGAAACTGTAGACATCACTTATGTTTAAGATATAGAAACATACACAGAAACACAATATTCTGACTTGATATGTTCGATGAATAAACTTTTTTTAATGCTTTATTATCAACAAATAGCACAAGAATAACTTCCATACATCAGAAAAACAGATCACATGCTTCACAATACAATATATATGACAAAACAAAGAGAAAAGGAAAAGAGAAAAAAATAAAAGAAGAAAACAACAGTTAGGGTCTAAATCTACTGTTTAGCATAAATATATTTTCATATGAAAATTTAGAATGATAACATATTACTGTATACCGAACACACATTTCCAATGGAGGGACAGAAAGCTTTCGGACTAAATCTAAAATATCTTAAACTGTCCTGAAGATGAACGGAGGTCTGACGGGCTTGGGACGACATGAAGGGGAGTCATTAATGACATCATTTTTGGGTGAACTAAACCTTTAAATTAAACAATTCATTTATTTCTGATAACAGCAAAAAGAAAAAGAAAAAAATCTTTCCCCCAGAATGTATTTGACCACCGTTTATTTTTTAATATTAAACTGATCAAAAATACATTTATCATGTTGCATAAGATTTTCATTTCAATACTATCTGTGAATATAGATTTCTAAATCTTTCCAAAATAAGCTTAAGTAGATAAAGTGATAAAAACAGAAAAATTTTGACTTTAAATCTTTCTAAAACATGATTAACTGGATAGATTCAATGTTATCTGCTTTGTTTTCTCTCGTCATCCTCTTGCAGCTCTGACGTCATTGACCAGAAGAACAGCGGCAGCCGCAGAAGCCACGCCCATCAGCGCTGTGACGACCAATCGCAGCGCAGCTTCAACAGAATCACAACAGGGGGCGTGGCCTTCTGGAGAATCTAATGAAACAACGGTAACATTTTCAACAAGCTGATTTTATTCTCTGTCAGGAACTCGAACTTCCTAAAAACTCAAACCTTTTGTTTCGAATAACATGAGTAAGTTAGTTTCATTTTTAGAATAATATTTATTTAATGCATTCCTGGCATTGAGCAAAAAGCTCATATGACCCCTGAGGTACCTGCAGTCTGACAGAGTTCAGTGATGTTATTATGCTCACATTTTGGCGATGATGATGATGCGGATGTGGATACGTCTCCGCTTGTAACAGGATCAGGCGTAGTAGCAGCTAAAACATGAGAAAAATCCAAACATTTTTATTGCAATATCAGTCACAGTCATTCAAAGCTGACCATCCTGATCTTCTTGAGGAGACATCGTCTAAATGTTGGATTGTGGGCTTTCACAATGGGCCACAGTGTGTGTGTGCAAAGACATTTGTTCACACACACACACACACACACACACACACACATACATAGTAGTCTACTTAATATAGGTGACTTTGAGCTTGTCTTTTTAACAAGTCATTTATAAATTTGGGCAGTCTTGTTATATTGATGGGAGAAACAAAGCTTTTTGAAATCCATTGAACCAATTATTTAGCAAAATGATTCTGTCTCCAAGCGCTCGCAGAATGTGAAGAATGGCTGTGTATTGCAATGCTGGGTCTAATTAATAATTATGGATTATTATAAATGTCACAGCACTAGGCAGGACGATTAGTGATGGATGCAGATTCATAATATGTAAATTAATGTGTGTTAACAAACAATAAAACAGACGTCACAGGGTTAAATGTATGACATCATAAAATGAACACGCATAAATAGTTTTATATCATTTGAAATGGCAGGGAAGAATCCAAGTGCAATCATTTGCGTTATTTTAATGTTATGTTTTAATGAGTTTGTTTCTTTACTTGATGTTGAGATGGTGATATTATGAACTTGCCCACATATTTACAGCTCAGCTTTTACAGCAGATTTACCACTCAAACGGAAAATCGTGACCTAAATATTATATTAATTTACAATAAACAATCCTAAAATTCATCATTTATTTTTGAGATTTCAACTCAAATGAACTGCTTTCTAGAAAACACTAAAAACGAATGTTTTGCCGTAATAACTCTTGTTAGATTGGTGTTGGTCAGATGAAGTTCAGGAGAAGCATTGCAAGCAAATAAGATCACATTTAGTCCTATTTACTCATATTATTATTAAAAATACTGTAAATATGTTAATTATCTGTAAATGTTTATTTTGACTAAACCTATCTGGGTCTTTATGCTTTTTAATATTTGTTATTCATAAATGTTATTATTATGGTGCTCATGCCTAAAAAGATCTTTCTGATTATTCAATAAAAAAATGTTTTAGCTATTTTAAGACCAGCTACCTAATATTGCGCAGGACAATATTAGCACTATCCTCTACAATGTACATGTGAGAGAGACAGATTTACTACTATACTAGGCAAATATTGATTTTCTTGAAGAAAAACTAAAAAAAATTCAAAGAATCTTGGCAAATGAAGCATCATGGGATTGTAGTTCATCCCTTCATTAATATATTCCATGACACATATTTCTATTTGCACTATTTAGTTTCTGTATACAATTATGAAACAAAATAGAATAACAACATCACATACATTAGTAATAAAACATTAAAACAGTGTAATTAAAGAAATATAAAATGGAAGATATTAAAGAGAAAATGAATTATTATCGTTGTGAACACTAGATGGCGCAATACACCAGATTAATCTAATGAACCTTTTCCAGTTCAGAGAGAGAGAGAGAGAGAGAGAGAGAGAGAGAGAGAGAGAGAGAGAGAGAGAGAGAGAGAGAGCGAGCGCACTGGTTCTCAAAGCTTATTTCACCATCACTACATTTACATCACATTTATGCTTTTAGCAGATGTTTTATCCAAAGTCTAAAAGAGGAGCAAAAACATTCATCAAAGAGCCAACAATCGTTGCAGTTCATAATGCGGTTTATTAGATAACTACAGAGATAAACAAGAAGAAGTTTAGGCAAGCTTGTGTCCTGTGTGCTCTTTCTGTGAGATATTCTCTCCAGATTAGTTATAGTTGTATTGTTTTATCTCATATTGTGCAAACATCCCCTCCAGACATCACTTTAACCACTACTGTATCAATCCCTGACCAGACCTCAAAGAACCGTCCATATCAACAGCGGCTCGCGGTTTAGCTGGTTAGCCTTAAAAAAGACCATTTCACCCTTATAAAGCATCTCTTTCCATTAATGCCTATAGAAAAGTAACGTTAATAGTCTTCTTCTTCTTCTTCTTCTTCTTCAGTTTAAATGGCGGTTGGCAACAATTAATTGTATTACCGCCACCGCTGGACTGGAGGGTATAGCAGGAGATATATATTTTCTACATAATTAAATTCTTTTTAAAAGCCCTGTACTTTTTAAAAACAAAAACAAAAAATTAAAAATCTTCTCAGCATTTCTTTGTAAAATCTTACTGTATTCAAATATAATTTAATTGGCTTCTACTTGAGCAATAAACCTCTGCCTATCTTGATAATATTTAGTACAATGAATCAAAACATGCTCCACTGTTTCAGGGGTAGGTCTTATACAATGCCCACAGTTGCCATCAACATGTTTTTTCATTAAAAATAATGTACTATTAAGTCTGGTATGCCCAATTCTCAACCTAGACAGCACTTCCTCATGTCTAGGTCTAGTTGAAGCTGCAACCTTTTTAACTTTAGGCTGTATCCTAAAAAGATGTCTCCCATATGATTCATTATCCCAACAGAATTGCCATTTTTCATAAATTTTTGATTTAATAATACTCTTAACCTCTGCTTTACTATATTTTATGTCAATATCAATGTTGTCTTTCCCTGCTGCTTTCTTGGCATATATATCAGCCAACTCATTCCCCTCCACCTATGTGGGCTGGAACCCATAAAAAGGAAAATTGTAATCCCGCCTTTTGCAATCCACTTGCTAGCTGTAAAATTTCTAAAAGAATGTCTTTCCTAGATCCTGAGTGTGAGTTCTTGATGCTTAAAAGAGCAGAACTAGAGTCAGATGCTATAACTATTTTTCTATTACCCCTATTACGAACAAGCTCTGCCGTAAATACAGCCAAATCATCATTTAGCCTTTTACCTACAGCCAGCCCCAATTCAGGCACCACATGCGCAACGTTAATAGTGTAAGATAATCATGTTTTCCACAGTCTGCTGAAGGAAGTGTTAATAGAGCATCAGTCACATGACATGATGATGGCATTAGGGTTTATGAAACACGCTAGCGGCTGCAACAAAGCTTCTTCCCAGCAAACACAGAACGTTCCCCTAACGTTCCCGAATGGTCCCATGAGGTTATTTTTTGGGGGGGAACCAAACAAGAACGTTATAGGAACGTTCCATGTAAGTTATAGGTTCCATTTTTATAACGTAAGGAGAATGTTCCGGGAACCTTAACCTTAAGGGAAAAGTAGGAACGTTCTGGGATCCAAAAACTAACGTTCCCAGAACCTAAATTTGTTTGCTGGGTCATCATGTCTGACATCTTATAAATCTCAATAAATCCACACATCAGTTAATGAATGTTAATATAATCAGCGCTGCTGTACCTGCACATGAATGACAGAATTGTGTGATGTCCAGATGTGTGGTCTGGCTGCTGATGGGATTGTTCAGCACACAGCTGTAGGTGTTTTTATCCTGATATTCCACCTCCAGAGGTAGAGAGAGACTGATGCTGAGATCAGACGCACTGATGCTGGACAATACACTCATTCCTGCGTACCAGGACAGAGTCGCATGACTCACATTCACAACAGATGAACACACCAGTGAACATGATGATGATGAAGAACAGTGTGAAGAGTTACTGATGACAGGAACAGGCAGAGGAGCTGAAATAAAGAGAATTAATAATATTTAGGGAATGATTGAAAAGTTGACTTCTTGAGATTCTGTTCAGTAATTTGTCTCTGTTCAGGCCGCCACGCTGGGTTTGAGTTGAATGTTGTCATTTGTTATAGAAGTTTGCAATGTGATACTGAAATGTTCTCTTCATTCGAGGCAGCTAAACCACAGGATATGGACTCGAGATGGATTTATAGCTCTAATATCTTGCACCTTATTTACAAAAACCTGTAAACACCTATTACAGTCAGACTTTGAGTACAGGCACTTGGGAAGCAGGAGGAGAGACAATCTTAGATATGGTATCAAACTCTGTGACACTTCTATATTAGGGCTAAGAAAAATACACTATTTTAGTAATACTTTATTTTACAAATGTGAAGGTGGAGTAAATTATAAGTAAAGGTATGATTTAAGTGGTTTCAGGTCCTAGTTGAAGTTCTGTCTTTTGTATGTGGGACTTTTATGTTTGATGCAGAAATATGCTGTTGGAAAATGGGACTTTTACTTTGATAGGAGGGCACCTTGTAAAGCCAAAGGGGAAATAGAAAAAATGCATGTTTTGAAACAAACACATGGGTGCTTTTTACCCATCGAGGTTAAAGAGAAAACTTGGGGTTTTATGGTATTTTTGCCTGTGCATCACATTTGGAGGATTATTATCGTTTTTCTGGACATTTATGGTTCATTTCTGGGCCGCAAGGAGTAAGGATTCATTCATACATCAGGACAATACTCCTCAGGACTCTGGGCTAAAGTGTTATTTTTCTTGATTTGACTGCTGTGTTTTCAATATACTTTGTTGGCTAATCTGTTTATGCCATTCTTTGTCTGATTTCAAGCATTGATACAGTTTTCCCTTTATTCTTTCATGCCTTTTGTGTGTCCTGAACTCTTAAGTGACAACTGGTTTACTTGAGTTGCAAGCCAAGTTTGTTACAACAGGGGCCTCATGTATCAACACTGCGTACGCACAAAAACACGGCGTACGCCAGCTTTCACGTTCACGGCCAGATGTACTAACAGTGAAATTAACGTAAGAATGTGCGTTCCTCCAAGTAAACTTCATGTCTGGCGTACGTACATTTGTCGTGATTTTTGTCCGTTGGCGACTCATAGAGGCAATAAAGTGAAGTGGCAAACATTACACTAAGAATTGTTCTATCGCATCACCCGCTGTCAGATATTGCTTATAATTTGTAATTGATAAATTATTTTACATATTATTGTCACACGAGTCTTAAAATATTCTATCAATTATGCAATTAAGTAAGAACATATATAAAGCGTGTGCAAATTGATACAACCCGTCTAGCAATGGCAGCGTTGGCTTTATTAGAGGACATTTTGAATGGACGAATCCGGAGAGAACGAATTTTTAGGGACTACAATGATTTTCTGGCCCACGATGATGACTGGCTTATCAGCCGTTTCAGATTTCCAAGGGCTATTCTCTTGGAGCTCTGCGCTGAGTTGGGTCCGAATTTAGAAAGAGAGACAATGAAGAGCCACGCATTACCGGTTCCTTTACAGGTGCTTATGGTGCGTTCTATTATACCCAACGAACCGACTCGGACCTCGGATTTGACGTCACGTCCACACTTCAAGCGTTCTATTATGTTTTGCTTGTCCGAGTCGGAGAAAGCTGTTGTAATGGTAGCACTGGCCGAGTACCAGGCACTTACATTAAAATAAAAATATTATGACTACACCTTATCAAAACGCAGCCATTTGAACTTGAAAATGTTCACTTTATTTAAAGTTTTTCATGTTAATCTTCTGTTAGCAACGCTAGCAACGTTAGTAATTGCACTCACAACAACCGATTCCCATACCTACAGGGGACGCAGTAATACGAGTGATTATAACCGTCATTTAAAATACCAAATCGGTTCAAAAACAATGAAAACAATTCATTCTTACAAGCCACATGGCGCAGCCATCTTGAATTCCGAAACGGAATTCTTGCTCGGTGTCCTCACGGTTGTCCGACGTCCGAGAGGAGAAATCCGAGGAAAGGGGACGTGTTGCTAGGCAACGTCTGTCGTCCGATTCGGATCTCCGAGACGGATGAATAATAGAACGCACCATCACTACACTTGGTTTCCTGGCAACTGGTTCTTTTCAAAGAGAACTGGCAGACCGCTCAGGAATAAGCCAGTCGTGTTTGAGCCGTGCAATGCCAGCTGTATGGGACGGGATCATCCGCTTGTCTACCAGGTATATAATGTTCCCATACGATGCAGGTGACCAGCCAAACATTAAAGCGCAATTTGCAGCGATAGCCGGTTTTTCTAATGTAATCGGAGCGATCGACTGCACACATATTGCTATAAGGGCGCCATCTGAAGAAGAATTTGCATATGTGAATCGGAAACATTTTCATTCAATAAATGTGCAGATTATATGTGATGCACAAATGCGCCTTACAAATATTGTGGCAACCCACGATTCCTATATCCTTACAAACAGCATGGTTGGGATGAGACTCCAAGCTGGCAGGGTGCGCGATGGGTGGCTACTTGGTAAGTTATGCATTTAAATGTATGGTTCTATCTAAAAGTTAAATTTGTGTGTGTGATTATTCAACTGCCCATCAGGAGACAGTGGTTATCCACTAAAGACGTGGCTGTTAACCCCCCTCACCAACCCACAAACTGAGCGAGAGCGCAGATACAATGATGCCCATTCTCGCACTCGGTCAGTTGTGGAGCGAGCAATTGGGCAGCTGAAATGTCGGTGGCGCTGCCTTGACGGGACCGGGGGAATGCTGTTATACCGCCCTGACAAGGTTTGCCGCATCATACTGGCCTGCGGAGTGCTGCACAATGTCGCGCACAGGCATGGCATACCCCTTGGTGAGGTGGTGGCATTGCCAGATGACCCTGACCCAGGACCAGCATATGTGCAGCACAATCAACAAGCCATTCAGGCCCGTCAACGTGTAATTGCAACAATATAAAAGGTACTCAGACACAAAGTTCATTTTTTGACCAATTGCTTTAATGAGTTGCTTATTTCTGTGAGTGCGTCAGTGACATTTTTCAGGTGACTGTTCATTTCTCCAATGGCCCGAACAATTTGCTGTTGTGACTCCAGAACAGCATGCGTTAAGTCGCGGCCAGATGGACGGGCTTCAGCACTGGGGGGAGCATTAGAGACACCGCAGACGCTGGACTGAATGGGCTCTGGCTGCTCGGGTGAGTGCGTGCCAGTGGACGTTCCTGCTGTTGTTCCTGTGGTTCCTAAGTCCAAATAAACAAAGGCACATGTTAACAGTAATTTGAATCTGTTCCTTATGGGTACACGCATTTGCAATAAAAGCAGTGGATGGATACGTAAAATCTCTGGTGTACATTTTGGTACATTGCATGCATTTTAAAATTAAATGGTGGCTAGTATGTATCCAAGTTTAAAAAAATACATTTTAAATTAGTCCCTTTGCTGGCAGTTCTGTATCATATCTGAGTCTCCCACATGAACGGACACGATTCCAGAGATTAACGTGTCTCCTACAATAGAGGCAACTCTCTGATCAAAGGGTGTAAGTTCATCGGCCCCTGTACCACCGCCTGTTCTGCCCACACTTTGTCGGTGCGCAGCAGTTCTCCGCTTAACTTCCACCTTTATGTTTAAGTTCATTTACGGTGCGACTCTCAGATCCCACCTGGTTGACTGCTTCAGACAAACTCTCCCACTCTTTTTTCTTTCTTTTGTTATTAATTCCAGAGGACAAACTTCCAAATAAATTTTTTTTTTCTTGTTTCTACCTCTGATAGTAGCACCTCTAATTCATTTTCAGTGAAATTTCGTTTTTTGCTTGCTTTAGCCATGTTCTTGCAGGTTTCTTTTACCAAATTGGACTAATTACCATATTTAAATTAATTTAATTTGGGGAGGGGACTGGGTGGGGCGTTTTGCTCGTGCATGTGCGCTCAATTTTACGTTAATTGGGATGTACAAAGAGAATATGCGTGGGATCCTTCGTACGGAGAGATTCATACATCTGTTTTTTTTTGTGCGTACGCACATTTACAGCTTTGATCGTACGCAATATTTTAGTATGAATTCAACGCAAGTCTTTGAACATGAGGCCCCAGGACTTTAGGATTCTTCTTGTTCAGGGTTACAAGATTCGACAAATAAACTGACCTGGCATGTTTTATCATATCATTAAGTACTGTGATAAGCTCTTTCACATGTAGTCTATACTTCCAGACTTGTTGATTTCCACAAACGTTCAACTTTACGGCACTTTCACCTGAAAGACATTATTTCTTCATTCAACCAAGAGCACGGATTCTTAGGAGATGTGCTTTTATTTTTCAGAGGTGCAACATTATTTAAAATAGACAAACAATGGCTATCAAAAGACTGAAGAAATGAATCAACATCACTACACTCAATAAAAGACTATAGGGTCAAATGACTCTGAAAATTTCTCAACTGTGGTTTGGCTAATTATGCGTCTTTGCAGCAAAGGTGTACACGGAGGACAGTCGATATTAAATGACAGGTTAAAAAATATGCAACTGTGGTCACTAAGAATCATAAACACGGGACGTGATGGAAAACTGTCCATTGTGCCAATAGGTGGTATGCACATGAGTTTTGCCTTGATGTTGAGAGTGGCGTGGGATCTGTACTTCAGCCATGGGAAAGGTTTAAATTTCGGGACACATCATCAGTAATGTGCCTTTGAATCAGGGGGTGTTTCGGCCTTTCAACACTAGACACCCTCATCAAAGGTGGCCAGCTACAGGGTGATCAAACCTGAGCTTGTGTCCCATGCCCAATCATAAGAAAAATTAGGACTATGCAAGGCAGGAGGCGTCCTCTTCCCTGAGTCAAGCATAAGGCTGACCGCATACCTTCAGCCTCCTCATGGAGGGTTGTGACCTGGGTTCCCAAGGGGGTTTTCGGGTGGGGGGATTAGTGAGTGGGTCATGTTGATGCTCTTTGAGCCCAACAGGGATCCTTCCTCTTAGTCCAGATCCACTGGCTGCTTCTTTCGGATGCCTCAGAGACTGATCTGATTGTTTGTCGCAAAGCCTGTCCACGGATGCCAAGGTCTTTCAGCAATCTGATGGTAGACGAAGCCACAAACCCTCTGCATCCCACTTCAACCGGATAGACTTTCGCTTTCCATCCTCGTTGTTGAGCGTCTGCTGCCAGTCCTATATAGCGCAGTTTCTTGCGTTCATAGGCCTCATCTGTTGCATTCTCCCATGGGACTGTGAGCTCAATGATGTAAACAGACTTTAACGAAGGGGACCAGAGAACCAAGTCTGGCCTAAGGGTGGTGACTGCAATTTCAGGTGGAAAGATTAGTTGCTGGCCTATATCGACTGGCATCTTCCAGTCCCGGGCCATGGCTAGCTGTCCAGTCTCTGGTTTGGTAGGGGGATGGTTGGGCTTTTCCTGTCCCTCTCGGATGAAGATTGGGGCCGTGATGGACTTGGTTGCTCTCAGGGGCAAGGAGTTGGTGGCATCCCTCTGGCTCTCAAGAGCTGCTGCCAGACTCTTGAGGACCTGGTTGTGTCTCCAGGTGTAACGACCTTGTGTGAGACTGGTCTTACAGCCGACCAAGATGTGCTTAAGAGTCGCTGGAGTTGGGCAGAGGGCACAGGTTGGGTCCTCACCATACCACTGGTGGAGGTTTTTTGGTGATGGGAGCACATCATAGGTTGCTCTGATGATGAAGCTGATGTTGCTTGCATCCATTTCCCAGAGCTCCCTCCAGCTACGCTTTCTTCTCTCCAGGCCTTCCCACCTCATCCATTGTCCCTGCTTAGCAAGAGAGACAGCCTTTGAACTTCTTTCTGCCTCCTCCTGACGGCGCACTTCCTCGACCACCATTTTCCTCCTCTCTGCTGTTGAGGCCTTACGCCAAGTTGGCTTGCTTGTCGTAAGGCCAAGGCCTCCTCTTCCCAACTGGACGTGCCCTACAATATCGCTGTGCCTCAGGGCTGACGTAGCTTGCTGCACCGCGTCGGATGGTTTCCATTTCCGTCCAGTTAACAGAGGTGGAACGGCATTGCTGATGGTCTGGTCTCTGGAGTCCTTCAAAGTCATCTGAAGTCTCACTTTAGAGCACTTGTACTCTTCGGTGAGGCTTGTGATAGGAAGCTCAAGGACCCCTTTGCCGTAGAGGCTGATGTTAGTCAGACAGCGAGGGACGCCGAGCCATTTCTTCACGTATGAGGTCATGGTTCGCTCCATCTTCTCCACAGTTGTTATTGGGAGCTCGTAAATAGTGAGTGGCCACATAACCCGAGGGAGAAGTCCAAATTGAAGGCACCAGAGCTTGAGCTTCCCTGGCAGAAGGGTATTGTTGATGTTTTCTAGACTGTTGGTAATGTCCTGCCTTACTTGTTGCACTTGGTCTTTGTCCCTGAGGCTTGCATTGTACCATCTACCCAGGCTTTTGACAGGTTGCTCAGACACGGTTGGTATTGGGTCATCACCAATGCAGAACTTCACATCTTTAAGCTGTCCCTTAACTATTGAGATGCTTCGTGACTTGTTCGGTTTGATTTTCATCCGGGCCCACTTGATGTTCTCCTGCAGCTTTCCAAGTAGTCGCCTGGTACATGCTGCAGTAGTGGTCAGGGTGGTCATATCATCCATGTATGCTCGGATAGGTGGAAGGTGAATCCCGTTCTTAGTTCGCTCACCCCCCACAACCCATTTTGAGGCCCTGATGATGACTTCCATGGCCATTGTGAAGGCCAGGGGTGAGATTGTACAGCCTGCCATAATGCCTACTTCTACGCGCTGCCATGATGTTGTAAAGTCGGCTGTTGTAAAACACAATTGCAGGTCTTCAAAGTAGGCTTTTACTAGACTAGTGACGGATGATGGAACGTGGAAGAATTTGAAGGATTCCCAGAGGAGGTTATGGGGAACTGAACCAAAGGCATTGGCCAGGTCAAGGAAGATGACATGGATGTCTTTCTTGTCTTTCTTTGCCGCTTGGATCTGATGCCAGATCATGCTGGTATGCTCCAAGCAGCCAGAGAACCCAGGAATGCCAGCCTTCTGTATGGATGTGTCAATGTAATTATTCTTCTCCAGGTAGGTGGACAACCTCCGAGCTATCACACTGAAAAAGGTTTTTCCCTCAACGTTGAGAAGGCAGATTGGCCGGAATTGACTAACGTCTGTTGCATCCTTCTCCTTGGGAATCAGCACCCCTCCAGCCCTTCGCCACACCTTAGGTATTATTCCCTTCTGCCACACTATCCTCATGAGCCTCCAAAGATAACGTAGAACATCTGGTGCATTCTTGTAGAGCTTATACGGTACTCCATTCGGCCCAGGGGCTGATGCTGATCTTGCGCGCCGTACTGTACTCTCTACTTCCTTCCATTTTGGAGGGCCAGTCTCCAGATTGAATTCGGGAGGTTGAATAACATTATTAATGTCCATACCACTCAATTGGTCAATGTTAAGGCCTAAAGAGAAAACAAGGTCCAAAGTATGGCCTTTTATATGTGTGGGACCAGAAACACACTGTTTAAAATGAAATGATTCAGTGAGAGTTATGAACTCAGATGCCACAGCACAAGAAGAGTCAATATGGAGGTTAAAATCCCAGAGTATCAGAACATTTTCAAGTTTGATAATTGAAGATAAAAACGCTGCAAAATTCTCTAAAAACAAGCAAGCAGGACCGGGACGTCGGTAAATTAAGACACAATAAAATATTATTAACTTTAGATTTTGTTTGACTTGTATCCGAGTTATACCTGCCAGATGAACAAAGAAAAAAAGTGATCTAAAGGTGTTGGTTATAGGGAAGAATCCAAGTGCAATCATTTGCGTTATTTTAATGTTATGGTGAGTGTGTGTGTTTTTTTTACTTAAACTTTACATGTTGAGATGTTGGAGCCCGATCTCATGAAAGTTCGTATGATCGTATCTATAGCACAAATGTCATTTCTCGTGCCATTTATATGCCAAAAATAGTTTTTGCGTGTATGGTACGCATTTTTTCTTGTGCATTTGATACGCACTTTATGGAGTATAATACGCACGACCTCCCCACTCCCCTCCCCCTAAACCTACCCAAGGGGTTTTCAATGCGTAGCATCTGTAAATGTTTTGGGTCTTTATGCTTATTAATATTTGTTCTTCTTAAATGTTATTATGTTTTGTTATATTTATATGTGTTGAAAAACATCTGGCTATAAATGGAGTAATTCCAATCGGGTCCATCGGTGCTCGGCCCTAAAAAACTCTCTCATTATTCAATAAAAACATCAGTGGTCAACATCACTTTAACCACTACTGTATCAATCCCTGACCAGAGCTCAAAGAACCGCTGGTTAGCATAGCCTTAAAAAAGACCATTTTGCCCTTATAAAGCATCTCTTTTTATTAATGCCTATAGAAAAGTAACGTTTCTTGGAGGCTTTAAAAGTGTAAGATAATCCTGTTTTTCTCAGTCTGCTGAAGGAAGTGTTAATATAGAGCATCAGTCACATGACATGATGATGGCGTTAGTGTTTGTCATGAAACACGCTAGCGCTGCAACAAAGCTTCTTACTCTTATGCTAATAGATCATGTTATTACTTGAACCATCACTTGTGCATGCATAAATTCTTACAATTATTCACTTGTTTTTGTCATTGACAAACCAAAAGATGATGTATTAAAAAAAAGGAGAACAAGAAAAGGGGAAACTTCTTAGAAAAACCGTCTAACAGTCGCTAGAGCTGGAAATAACTTCTACTAAAATTTGCTTATATCTGCAAGGTCTTAGCTTTTATATGCAAATCATGGAAATATAGAGAGATGCTTATGCAGCTGAACATCTTTTCTTTTCACATACACATAGTAAACTCTGATATACAGTATATCAATATTTCACATTCACGGATATCACAGAGAGGTTTTTGTCAGACATTAGCATTTTTAGTAAAACTGTTTCTCATATGAGGAAGTTAAATTGTCGCCCCTTCAACTCTCGTGATTCACAGAAACACACACTCAGCTTTTCACAGCTCAAGACATGCAAACACTGAAGCACATTAACCACAAACGTCCAGTTAAAACACATTCTCATGCACACACTCTCTGACCAACAGATCAAACTACATTCATAGTTGATATCTGAAAATGAGGCCATCTGTAGTTTGAGCTGTAGAATACAAAACGTTAAAAATGTCATGTCATTAAATGTGCTTTCATTCTGCAAATGTCCTTGCTTAAAGTGCCCCATATGTTTGTTTGTTTGTTTTTTGTTTTTTTGTAGCTATGCTTTCTAGTTTTGTTTTGGGGACTCCTATAATAGATTTACATGCATCCAATGTCAAAAACAGTTTAATTTTGAACATGACTATCAGATAATTTCTCAAAGAGGCTGAAAACTGTTTTGTGTCGAGCAGGACGAGGCCGTGGAGAGATTAATGATGAGCGACGCACCGGTCTCGTATCTCTCACGGCCCTCGTCCTGCTCGACACATGTTTGATCACAGATTCATTCTCTATAAACCCAGACTGATGTGATTGGTCTCCTCTGAACATCTGTTTATATCCTCAGTGTGCAAAATAAACAGAGATACAGTAATTCATCATATTTGCACCTGGCCATTGCTTGCATGACATTCATTTGCAGTGAGCTTTATGAGTTTCAAATATTATGAATGTATGATTGACAGGTGTGAATTATCCATTATCGACACTAAAGTTAGGAGCTTTTCTCATGGTCAGTTTTCAGTGTTTTAGAAGCAAATGGATTAATATTTAAAATGTAATTACAGTGTCAGAGAAATTTCTAAGATCACAAATAATTTAAAACATTTTTATTGTGTAGTATTGAGAAGAATTATGATAATGAAATGCCCCTTCTGTAATACAGTATATAATAGAGAGAGCTGTGTTTCTCTACTCACCATAGACAGTAACAGTGAATCTGTATGTAGACGATGAGCTGATGCCGCTGATCTTAACTTCATAAACTCCAGTATGATCAGTTGTGATGTTCATGATGGTCAGAGATCCAGTCTTATTGTCCAGCTTCAGTCTGTCTCTGAATCTCCCATTAGGAACATCATAGATCATATTGTTCACTCCATCAGTTATAGCTATAAGACTCCTGTTAGGTCCAAATCTCCAGATTATATCATCACCGTTCTGTATTTCAGTGAGACCAGAGTTTAGAGAGACTGAATCTCCCTCCATCACTGACACTGACTTCAGTTCATCTGTACCAGCAAACACTCCTGAAGAACACACAGAAACAGTCTCTCACACACACATTCAGTTGTTTTGGTGAAGCATTACTGAAGTTTGAAGTGATTTTGAAATTATTGAAAAAGTTGAGATGGTATAAGATAGAAATGAAAAAAAAGGAAAGAGTGCAGAACAGTTATCTGAACGTCTTCTTATATTGTACACTTTTATTTCAGTGTTTAGAGTTACACGAGTGAATTTCCAGTGAGGTGGAAGTGAAGTTCATTAGAGCGACTACATACACAATATGCAGCTGTAAAAAATGATAAACTTGTCTAACTTACCAACCAGACAGCAACAGCACAAACAGCTGAAAGCAAATGAGTGAAACATTTTCAATAGTTCAGCGGTCTGAAAGAGTGTCAGTCAGTCTGAAAGTGAAGTCTGAAAGTCAGTCTGCAGTGAAGATGTGTAGAGAACAAGTGTCCACAATCTGAACTATTTGCTAACTTCCTCTAGACTGAATTAGGCCACGCCCCCTGTCTCCAAACACACGCCCTCTCTGAAACCCCGCCCCAATGTTGTGTTGTGTATTCTTCTGCATCGTTAGGCGATGTTTGTTTGTTTTTTCAGATCAATTAAAGACGAATCTCAGCAGTTGTTTCAATATTTCACATTCATAAATGCTTGTAGAATAAACTTTCATAGGTAAAATTAATACTAAAATAAAATGATAAGAATAGTTTAAAATCTAATAATTGACTTATTTTATATTGTAGCTTTCATAATTTTAACAAAAGTTTCAATTTGTCACATTTCTGACTTGTCTAGTTCAGAAAATGAAATATGAATACTGAATATACAAGGTCCAAGAGCCCAATCTGATGGGACACTGATCACCATTGTGGTGACTTCAAAACAAAAACAGTGGTTAACAATTACATTTCTTACATATTGACACACACTGAAGGAAAAAATATCCATGGCAGCACAGCGTGACAAACCTTTACCATTAATGAAAATTAATAAGGCAAGGCAAGGCAAGTTTATTTATATAGCACATTTCATACACAGTGGCAATTCAAAGTGATTTACATGGAAGAAATTAAAATAATCAAAAGAAATCAGAATAATTAAAACAGTTTAGAATAAAAAAAATCATAATAATAAAAATAAAATACATTATTATAAATGAAAAAACAGTTGAAAAATCTGAAGTAACATGAGTAAACTACTTCCAGATGTTGACAGCACATTAGGGTCTGTATATCTCGGGAAGTTGAGTTCCTGGTCAAGAACACTAGATGGCGCTCTAGTACACTATGTGTCCTGCTTTTAGTAGGTACACACTTAGATTAATAAATCATCAAATAAAGCAGCAACTACGTTTTTATTTTTACTTTATTTGTAAATTTCTTTACCACTGTATGACAGAAAGATTCTGAACCATTTTTCATTTAAAGATGAAGATAACGATGACATACCGGATAATTATTTGTCATTTATCAAAGCATCATTTGTTTTTAAAATTGTTTGTAATATCTTTAATATGAAGAATGATAATTGTGAATCTTGGCACCGTTTAGCCTGTAAGAATATGTTGTTCCCTTAGAGGTCAAATTATGTCATAGTTTAATTTTTGAGTGTGTTTACAGCTCGCACATCTAACAGTTGAAATGAAGTGGAAACTGTAGACATCACTTATGTTTAAGATAGAAACATACACAGAAACACAAAGTTAGATGTGGAATATTCTGACTTGATATGTTCAATGAATAAACTTTTTTAATGCTTTATTATCAACAAATAGCATGTACAAGAATAACTTCCATACATCAGAAAAACAGATCACATGCTTCACAATACAATATATATGACAAAAACAAAGAGAAAAGGAAAAGAGAAACAAATAAAAATAAAGAAAACAACAGTTTTAGGGTCTAAATCTACTGTTAAGCATACATATATTTTATATGAAAATTTTAAATTATAACATATTACTGTTGTTTTGATTGCTTTGCTTTTTTTTTAGATCTTGGCATTACATCTACATGTATATATTAATCTCTTTCTTAATTAAGCACTGTGTTTCCCACTTGTGAATTTACATTTGTGAAAATGAAATTTACATACAAACAATTAAATAAAATTTCAAATAAGCATCCTTTGAGCATTGGTCCGTAATACAATAACCTTATATATCACATATTTATAGGATAAGAGAAAAGGATACAAAATATTATCCAAAAACATTCCAAAACCTTTTTTAATATTATTCATGTATTTATTCCATATTGCCCATATTCCAGATAAAGAATGTGTGGGGCGGAAAGTTGTGTTTGTAAATGATCAAGTGCTTGTTTAAACTTAAGTTTTTCAATATTATAATTGCACATTACAATAAATTCCACACCACCTATGACAGAAAATATATATTGAGGGATCATATTCTTATAGACTATAAAATATCATGTAAGCCAGTTAGTTTTTAAAGTATTGTTCAGAGATCTAAAGTCGATAACATTTAGACCCCCTTTATCATATGAATTTAATATTACTGATTTCTTAATGTACTGAACTTTGTTTTTCCATGTCAATTAATTTACTTACTCTTGCTTGTCTTTTAAATAATTGTAAAAAAAAAAATTGAGGGGCCCCTATCATATATATATATTTATAACTATATAATTATTTTAACCTTTGATTCTTTCTCTTACATAAATGTTACAATTTGAGGATTCCAAACAGTTGCCAGTAGCACCTCACATTTATTGATATATTGATTAAAATTTGCCCATGATTTACTCACAAAATCAGCAACATTCACCATGAATTTAAGTAATACTCGCTGTAACCATGGAAGTTTGGCGGGAATAGTAAAACGCTTTTAAATACATCACACATCTTTTTTCCAGCCCTTTAAAACCAAAATATTATAATATGTTTTTTTAAGTAATTTGTATTTATATTGTTTTAAAAGTTTAACATGACCTACTTTAGTGCTGTATTTTAATGTAGCTAAAGTTCAGATTCAATTCTTTAATGGGCCGCTTTATTTACGATCATCATGTTACCATTTAGAAATGCTGGACCGCTGGTCCTCCTCTTGTGGATCTGATGTCATAAACCAGAATCGCCACAGTAGCCACGCCCACCAGTGCAGCGACGACTAATCGAATGACAGTTTCAGTAAAACCACAACAGTGGATGTGGACTTCTAAAAAGGCAATTTTCAACAAGACAACTTTAATTTCTGTAAGGAACTCCAAACTGCATAAATATACAGGTACTGTTATTGTGATAAAAACTGTCCCAATGTTAAAAAAAGGGAAAAATATGGGGGATTTTCTTTCTTCTTCTTCTTTTTTTTTGTGGATTACACAGTGTGAATCAGTGTTGTAGTCGAGACCACCTCACTCGAGTCCGAGTCTAGACCGAGACCAGAGAGAGTCGAGTCCGAGACCAGAGACGGTCGAGTCCGAGTCGAGTCCGAGACCAGAGACGGTCGAGTCCGAGTCGAGACCGAGACCAGTGAGGGTTGATTACCTAATTTACTTTTATTTACTTAGAGAAATCCTTTTTTTTTTTTTTTTTTACTGAATTTACTTAGAGTTTAAAAAATATGATCAGTTTAGGGTAAAAAGGCCACATAGTAGGTGGTGTTAAAAGTAATTTTATTACAATTTGTCATGCGCAGTTGCGCACTAGAAAATCACCAACCACTGGGCGTGTCAATCAATTTAAAGAAATATTTTATTAACATACATTAATAATCATGAAAAATATTTTGAATTAAACTCGAGTGGACTCGGGAATAAGTCCGAGTCCTAAAAAAAAAAATGTTCGAGTACGAGTCAATTCCGAGTCCAAATGCACACGAGTCCATGACAAGACCAAGACCATTAAAATATGGTCTCGAGACCGAGTCCGAGACGAGTCCGAGTCTCGAGTACTACAACACTGGTGTGAATCACCAGCAACTTTCATTGTATGGAATAAACAATCACATGTATGATCAGTGTTGCTGTACCTGCACATGTGTGACAGAGTTGAGTTGAGTCTGGTTGTGAAGTAGACTGACCGTCCAGTTCTGTAGTGATACAGAAATAAGTGAACACATCAGTGTGATCTACACCATAAGACAGAGATCAGGTCAGTAAACGCACACACACACATATCTGATGAGTGCTGTACCTGCGCATGTGTGTCTGCAGAGTGTGTTGATGTCCAGATGTGTGGTCTGGTTGCTGATGGGATTGTTCAGCACACAGCTGTAGGTGTTTTTATCCTGATATTCCACCTCCAGAGGTAGAGAGAGACTGATGCTGAGATCACACACACTGATGCTGGACAATACACTCATTCCTGCGTACCAGGACAGAGTCGCATCACACACACTCAACACTGATGATGAACACACCAATGAACATGATGATGATGAAGAATTATCTCTTGTAATTTTAGGAACAGGAAGAGGGGCTGGAAAACATAAGAGAATAGAGATACATATGGAAATGTTTAAACATTTTTTGATAGTTAAAGTTCACCCAAAAATTACTTTTTTGTCTTCAGTTGAACAGTAAAGAAGATTTTTAGCTGAAACCGTGGTCCTCTGTGATTAATTTAAAAGTAGCGCTCATCCAACCCGATCTCACGACCAAGTCGTACGAATTCGACGAATGATTAAAAAGTGGCTAATTCGTAACAATTCATACGACATCACTCGTACGAATTAATAAGATTTTGCTAAATCGTACATATTTTACGAATTGGCCAATTCGTATGAATTCGTACGAATGACCTACCCCTTACCCCGCCCCTAAACTTAACCATCACGTGGGTTTAGACAAATCGTACGAATTAGTACGAGTGAGGTCGTACGAATTAGTACGAAATAGACACTTTTTAATCATGCGGCGAATTCTTACGAATTGGTCGTGAGATAGTGTTTCACAATGTTTCACTGCATACCCTGCACGCATACATCATTATGCGACAGGAAGGCTGTAGATTACAGGTTAAAAAATTTTAAATAATGTTCAGTACCGATGGTTTTGTTTCTTAAAGGGTTAGTTCACCCAAAAATGAAAATTAAGTCATTAATTACTCACCCCCATGCTGTTCCAACCCCGTAAGACCTTCGTTCGTCTTCGGAGCACAAATGAAGATATTTTTGATTAAATTTGAGAGCTGTATAACTACCACATTGGCTCCTAAGGGACTGGCTCTTGACGGCCCAAAAAGTCAATGAAGAAAATGTTTAAATATCCCAAGTGACTACCGTGACTCAACTATATGTTTATCAAGCGACGATAATACTTTTTGTGCGAAAAATCAAACAAAAATAACGAGTTTATTCGACTATTTCTTTTCTTCCTTGTAGGCCAGAACGAGAATTCCTTATAGATTTCCACGACGCATGCGCGAGATTTGCGATCTAAGCTGGTGTAAGCTGGTGTGAGCAGATCGCAAATCTCGCGCATGCGTCGTGGAAATCTAAGGAATTCTCGTTCTGGCCTACAAGGAAGAAAAGAAATAGTCGAATAAACTCGTTATTTTTGTTTGATTTTTCGCACAAAAAGTATTATCGTCGCTTGATAAACATATAGTTGAGTCACGGTAGTCACTTGGGATATTTAAACATTTTCTTCATTGACTTTTTGGGCCGTCAAGAGCCAGTCCCTTAGGAGCCAATGTGGTAGTTATACAGCTCTCAAATTTAATCAAAAATATCTTCATTTGTGCTCCGAAGACGAACGAAGGTCTTACGGGGTTGGAACAGCATGGGGGTGAGTAATTAATGACTTAATTTTCATTTTTGGGTGAACTAACCCTTTAAGACCTCAACGTATCGTCAGGAGACACGGGCATTTGTTCTGTCTGCATTTTTTTTAAATCTCAAAGATGGACCGTAACAAAGTACATTTACTTGAGTATTTTTTAAAAGTTTTCTTGAAACTTTTTACTTTAACTTCATTACATTTGAAAGACAAATATCATACTTTTTACTCCACTACGTTTCTGTCAAGCTCCTTGAGTAGAAAGCAACGTCATTCATGGGAATTGAGGGAACAGCCATTTGGGTGTCCAAAACCAATGTGGACGTTATTGAGTGCACTTATTCATTCTCACATTTAATCCCACTACTGGAACTGTGTTCTAGAAATAAATGTGATATTGATATGAGGGTAGGTAGGCATAGATTCAGAGGCATACGGTATATTACACACAGGTCAATTCAAGTAATGAGAACTTAATTAACAGAACAAGATTGTGACTCTACTCACCATAGACAGAAACACTGAATGATTTTGATGATCGTTTCGCTCCACTTATCTGTAGTCTATAATCTCCAGTGTGTTCAGTTGTGGTGTGTGTGATGGTCAGAGATCCAGTTTGATCGTCCAGCTTCAGTCTGTCTCTGAATCTCCCATCGGGAACATCATCATATGTGGTGAAGATTTGCTTTTCTAAACTGATTTTAACTATCAGAGAGTTTCCAGCTCCATATTTCCACAGTATGTCGTCGTCTGCACGTATTTCAGTAAGATCAGTGTTTAGAGTAACAGAATCTCCCTCCATCACTGACACTGACTGTATTTCATTTGTTTCAGAAGAAAAGACACCTGTAGACATGAACAGATTAAATCTCATTTTGGTTTATAATGCCTGAAGTCAGTTGTAATTTGTAATGTTAGAACTGAAGAACATCCAGAAAATGATTTGTTCATAATTATTGCAAATTTAGAATACTAATAATAATACGCTTAAAATCGGCTAGTTAGATAATATGCTGTAATGTAATGGAAAATAAATAAAATTAAAATATTTTTGAGAACAAAATAAAAAAAGCGAATAATAATAATAATTCTATGACTGTGGGACCATGTGCACCTACACAAACACAAACCTGATTCTGAAGCAGAACTCATATAATGTTTGACTTAATTCAGCTGTGAAGAATTGCAAATTAAAATGATCTCAGCTTTTTACTGATATTAAGCCATAAAAATGCATTTATAACTTACCAATCAGACTCCACCAACACAAACAGAACAAAACAAACATGTGAAACATTTTCTTCAGCAGTTCAGTCGGTGGAAAGTCTGATCTAACAAAACTATCTGCTGAAAACACTCAGTCTGTTCATCTGGTGTGTGAATCGTCCCACAACAGAGTTTTACCCGCCTTGGTCTCATTAACACACACACACACACACACACACACACACTGGTTCGTCATCTATGTGGGGACTCTCCATATAGGCTTAATGATTTTTATAGTGTGCAAACTGTGTATTATCTCCCTTCTACTAACTCTACCCCTAAACCCCCATCATATTCACACAAAACTTTCTGCATGATTTCAAACACTGTTTAGTATGCTTAAGTAAGCCATTAGTTTTGTTTTTTTCGAGGACACAGGATGTGACCTCAAAGCATGTCACTATACACTCCCTCTCTCTGTCTTTCTCTCCTGGATCGTATTAAAATTTACTTTTTAATGGTTGAAACCATACTTAATTTTTATCATTTAATATTGATAGTATCCTATCATATTACAATATAGCTGATTGATTTTATAATGGTTGTAATAAATCAGTTCTCAGTTGTCGTGAATGGAAAAACAAGCAAACAAAAAATGTTAAACGTGTACCCGTTTTGACACAATGTGGCACTAGCAGCTCATCTGAGTCAAACTGAAACCTACTGTGGTTTGAGTTCTACAGAAATGTGGTCTGACCTGTTGGGTGGACAAACAGCTGCATTGGCAGTGCAAGTGTGTTTTAGTTTGTAGGTGAAGCTTCCTGCTGTAATGAACCTCAATCACAGTCTAACTAACATTTGCATTTATTCATTTAGCTGATACTTTAATCCAAAGTGACTTACAATTGCTATATATGTCAGAGGTCGCACGCCTCTGGAGCAACTAGGGGTTAGACACATTGGTGTCTCACAGTGGATTCGAACCTGGGTCTCTCACACCAAAGACATGTGTCTCATCCACTGCGGCATCACCACCCCCTACCACCACTTCCTCGCTAGAACAAACTGCTTTAAAGTACTGAATCAATCCATCAAAACTGATGTATAAAAACAATCAAATAAATGTCAGAGGTCATACGAGATTCATACCCACGAGTGACAGCAGATGTTATCACAAAACTAATAATAACGGTGAAGGCCAGTATCCAGTCAACACGCTTGAAGTAAGTTTAAGCCATTTATTTATATCGAGATTTTAACCAAAGAGAGAAAAGAAAACGAAAATGTACAAAGCCACCTTCTTCTAAGGCTGACTACTAAATCCCCTTAAAGGGATAGTTCACTTTAAAAATTAATTTTTGATATGTTTTAGCTTACCTCGAGGGCATCCAAGATGTAGGTGTCTTTGTTTCCACAGTATTTTCAATTTTAATATTTTTAGGTTAAACTTTTTCACAGTCAGTTTGATTGTGTAGTCTTTGTCAGTCTGTGTCACACTGTTTACACGGAGATTTCAGAAGTGTTACCTTTCACTGTGAAGATCTAAACATATTTACGGTAGATATACAGGAAATTGCAATGGAAGACGATTTCAATATATCAACAGACAAAGTTGAGCCTTCAGATCACTTGAACAGGTGTTATACCACCCATTTAAAAACTTAATTTTCACAACAGGGGGACATTAAGACAAATGTGTGGGCCTCATTCTAATTTCCATTCTTTTGAATGTTGTCTCAAGTACACACCCACAGGGACACACCCACACAGGTAAATACATGGACTGTATCAGGAAATGAATACATTGTAACACTGGAAACCACATGGGGAAACGGTTGTCAGAAGAAACATGACAAAAAAATTTTTTTTTGTTAGTTTGTTCCCAGTGTTTGCCCTCCTCATGCACGGTAAGATGTTTATTTTTTAAATCTCTTTTCTGGTCAGCAAGAAAAACTCATTTCGAAATAGTCATCATAAACATTTAGACATGTTTTCCTGTTCAAACCACCCTAATCTGCTGTGCTGGTTTTAGTTTGTTTTCTGGTTAAGTTGTTACTGTAAAAAGCATTGAATGACAGTTCAAATATATATATATAGTATAGTATAGTTAATAAACAATTAATTAGCCATATAAATCAATAAATGTAACTATATAATGTTCTGAAATGATACACTGCAAAAAATGGCAGCTGTAGTTGCCAGAACTTTACCATCAAAAATACGGTAGCAACATTAATAGTTTTACAGACTTGACCTTAAAATTTACAGTAATAAACCATGTCATTATCTGATCATGTTAATTTACCAGCCTATTGAAGTATTGATATGTGCTTTGTACCATTGTAATACACTGACAACCAACAATCATCACAGTAATGATGACGATGAATCGAAGCAGTTCTTCCACAAGAAGGATTATGGAAAAACTATGAGGAAGTTATTTCAACAAAAATACATCAAATGTGAAGTCACAATTCCGGTTTACTGTTTTTCACTGTAAATTATACAACGAGTTGTTCTTTTTCACTTTCAAAAAGTTTTTTGTACGTTTAATGGTATTTTACAGTAAAATTTTACAGTATTATTTTTACAGTGTATCACACTAATAATGAAAACTTTAAAAAAAAAACTGTTCATAGCCCAATTCCCTATAGTACAAAGCTTCAAAATAATAATATATTTTGAATATTTTTTGCAGTTTAATGGGTATAAATGGATGCAATATTAACAGTAATAATAATAACTAAAATAATCAAAGAAATTAAAGGAATAAATAAATCTCAAAACAAGCCTTGTGGGAATAATAATCGGAGTATTTTGCATTGGGTTCGATACCTTTAGGTCAAATGGTCTTGGAGTTTAATGGCTTTAGAATACATACATTTAATGTTTTAAATTATAAAATGTATATTCCCCAGAGTCTTGTGCTATAAAATGGATATTTTGTCACATTTTACTTCACTATTGAAAATGCCATACAGTTAAATTGTTTAATTGATTTTGAAGTATGGAAGTAAAATAATGCTTAAATGTTTTTTTTTTTATCTCACTATCTCAGACATGATTATGATTACTGTTTATTAATTCTCTAGGTGTTTCTGATGTTGAGAAAGTGTCGGTGTCAGTGACGGAGGAAGATTCAGTCACTCTAAACACTGGTGTTACAGCAAACCAGCAAGAGAAGATTAGATGGTATTATAATGACATTCGCATCGCTGAAATCACTGGAGATCTCAGTAAGATCTGTACAGATGTTCAGTGTAATGAAGGCACTGAGAGATTCAGAGACAGACTGAAGCTGGATCATCAGACTGGATCTCTGACCATCATGAACACCAGCACCGCAGATGCTGGAGCTTATCATCGAGAGATCATCAGAAACAGCACAATCTGTGAAAAGATCTTCATTATTGCTGTTCATGGTGAGTCATTTAACTCATGTTTCAAGCAGGTTATATGAGCAATATCACACACGTATAGCAGTGCGATATCAGCACGGCTTCATTTGTGCTAACTGAGCTGAAGCTGTGCTGACTTGAATGAACAAGTTTGAATACTAGTGCTTATCAAATGACAACATGGTCTCTAGGCAATGAGAAATTAAGAGAATAGTGTTTATAGTTCAGTGAAATGAGTGTGCTTTTTGGCATTGTGGTTTTGAAATTTGAGTTCAAACGCCTGGTTACAGTGTTTAAGCAATCTAGAAAAACCAGCCTGGTCTCATCCCCCAAGGCGTCATAGGTGACGCTTTTGACATTGCATCTACGTCCGATGCATATGGCACCCAATAGCGTCAATATGAGACACAGATATATATGGGCCAGAAGGCGCCTCCTAGTGGTCTAACCTGGGGTGGGGAAAAAAATCGATACAGCATAGTATCGCGATATTTTCTGTCGCAATACTGTATCGATACACGGACGCCAAGTATCGATTTTTATTTTATTTTTTGCATATTTAATTATAAAATTATCTGTTTTACTTTCCGGGTTTCATGATTTCTCTATTTTTCACTGCTTGAGAACATAGGTTGAAGCCGAAATCGCCCCCTAAACCCTCATTCACTAAGTTAGACTTATTCCCTAAGTCCACTAATACTGTTCACTTGAAGGAGTGAATGAAAACGAGTGAGCGAATTTGGAAAGCCGTTGAGCGTAAAGGCCAATTTATACTTCTGCGTCGAGGGTACGGCGTAGTGAACGGCGTTGGCTTCGCACGTAGGCGACGCCGTTGTGAGCATTTATACTTCTGCGTTCAGGTATTGGTTGCTCTGCAGTACTGCTCCGAAACGCTAGGAGGCGGCGGAGGGTTTTAATGTTCCACTGTGTTTAGATTCCTCACGGCTAGGTTAGTACAAGCAATGGGCTATATGCACGCATAAGTTCCGCATTTGACGTAAGGATGCTCGTCCATTTCCGGTTGTGTAGATTAAAGCGAAGGAAAACCGGAGAAAACGGGATTATGGCAGAGTCTTCAATATTTACTCTCCTCCCGTCTTTGAAACGAAACGTACATACGTTTAGATGTAATTTTATATATAGTTATGTTTATTTAATATAATTTTAAAAAGAAGCATAAACACAACGAGGGGTGTCTGTTTTATCTGTTTTTGTGACTAACGTTTCATTAGTATAACCATGGAGTATAAAATTCAATATAAATTCTCGGTATTGCATTGGACTCTATGATCGGCGGAAGTTATCGAGCATCCCTAATGCTTCACCGGAAATAACGCCGTGCATAGAGCCCATAGCGACTGAAAGAGAGCGGATCATGTTGGAGTTGGAGCTTATTGGGGTGAAAAAACAGTTCAATTTAGTGAAATTACTAAAACTGAAAGGCAGAAATGAGAGAAGACGTCGGAGGAGATGGTACGTGTGGAAATGCGTGAGAAGGTACGTGCGGAAATGCGTATGAGGAAATACGACGCTACCAAGCCGACCAATCACCGATCTTGCGGTCCGCGTCGTCGCGACGTGTAGTTACATTTTTGAAGAGGTGCGCGTCAGGCAACGCGGAAGGGTACGCGGTATGGGACGCGTCTGTGCGTATGCTACGCCGTACCTACTGCGCGCACCCTACGCAGAAGTATAAATTGGCCTTACGCTGTAGGCTACACGTTAATGCAGTGCAATGTGGGTGAGAGATGCGATCTGACACGCGTCCCATTTTCTCACAAATGTTCATTTAAGACTTTATTTAAATCATTTTAGACAACTCTTATGAGGACGTTTGACAAAACGGACATTTTGGCATAATTTGTGTGTGTAATGATTTGTTCAAGCCCGAAAGAGAACTCGATACTGACGCGCGTCTGTTCTGTATATCTCTCTTTCTCTCTGTGTGTGTGTAATACAGGCAGGATTGAACGGATACTGCGTAATTGCGTAAAAAAAAAGTTTGTTCTTGCATTGATGAAACCCGTGTTGCGACTGCACACGTAACACCGGTAACACCGACTATCGTAGCAAGCCTGGAGCTCAACATTCATGTGAGCGGTCTCCTATTCAGAGAATAATGGGCTATATGCACGCATAAGTTCCGCATTTGACGTAAGGATGCTCGTCCATTTCCGGTTGTGTAGATTAAAGCGGAGGAAAACCGGAGAAAACGGGATTATGGCAGAGTCTTCAATATTTACTGTCCTCCCGTCTTTGAAACGAAACGTACATACGTTTAGATGTAATTTTATATATAGTTATGTTTATTTAATATAATTTTAAAAAGAAGCATAAACACAACGAGGGGTGTCTGTTTTATCTGTTTTTGTGACTAACGTTTCATTAGTATAACCATGGAGTATAAAATTCAATATAAATTCTCGGTATTGCATTGGACTCTATGATCGGCGGAAGTTATCGAGCATCCTTAATCCTTCACCGGAAATAACGCCGTGCATAGAGCCCATTACGTCCTGTCCTGTGTCCTGAATGTTCAAGAACAAGTTTTTGCACTTCAGTTAATGTGTAGAAGATAATGTTTATAGAATTTAATGTGACATTTAATTAAACGGAGTTGGGCAGTCTTATTTTGCTCATATTTTGTGATGTCTTTGAATAATATGGGGAACATGAATCGCAATATATTGCTTGTATCCAATAATATTGAATCGTGGCCCAAATATCGCGATACTATCGAATCGTCACATTGTTGCCAATTCCCACCTCTAGTCTAACCCTAACCCTACCCCAGACCTAAACCTACCCATACCCATAAGCGTGTTATATTGACGCTAAAGGGTGCCACATGCGTCGGATTTAGACGCAATGTCAAAAGCGTCACCTATATGACGGCCTAGGATGAGAATGCGTTAGAAAAACTGTTATTATAATTAGGAATTGTGAATGCGCTCTGGCGATATTCGCACTAAATTATTTTCTGACTGGGAACCAGCGAGCTTTTCGCCCAATTGATTGTGAGACCCAGTTTCTCGAGGTGTTCGAGTAACATGGTCCTGTGTTCTATGAGCTCTGACTGAGATCGAGCTCGAATCAGCCAATGGTCCAAGTAGTTTAAAACTTGCATGCCCTGAAGTCTCAGGGGTGCGAGAGCCGTGTCGTCATAAATGTACGGGGTGCAAGCGACAGGCCGAACGGTAGGACTGTGTATTGCTATGCCTGGCCCTCGAAGGCAAATCTCAAGATTCGCCTGTGACGTGATGCTATTTCTATGTGGAAATAAGCGTCCTTCAGATCTATCGACATAAACTAGTCCCCTTGGCAAATCTGCGCGAGGATTTTCTAGAATGGGTCTTTTTTCGGTAACAGAAAATATCTGCTGTACAGGCCCCCTGTACCAAGGGCGGGGTAGCTTTTTTTTTTTTTATAAAGAAGTTGTTTCAAGTTCAGTTGAAATGGCTCGTCCTGCAGAAGGCTTTTCAGACATTGCAGCTTCTCACTCTGTATGCAGCGATGCGAGAGATTAAAAACCAGTGATATCAGCCCATCAAGCTGTATTTACAGGGCTAGGCCACGCCTGCTTTGGATGTGACTCAGTGGGCGTGAAGCGCTCCCATTGGACCATCACCAATGCGCCACTCTCGATAGGCTGCTGCAGTTGACGCAGGACTGCCAATAGGCAAGCTAAGCTGCCTTGCCTATGTCTGCATGCTGCCGCGACGCGTTTTACATTAATACAAAATTAAGGATAAATTTTGGGGTTCAATATCCCGAGGAAGAGAGATTTTCCTCTAGCGTAAGATTTACGCAGCATGAGAGAACCTCTTCTAGAGAGAACCGAGGTTACGTTAGTAACCAAGTACGTTTTAGCAGGAATGCAAAGTGAAAAGGATTTAATATGAATAAGCACGTAAACTGTGTTTGCAAGCCCAAAATGTGGATAAAGTCACAAGATCACAATTTTATTTTTCAAAACGCTCCTAGTAATATTATAATGCAGTAATTGATTTCTTATTGTCCAGTTTTCTTCAGCATCTGTTGGTTTGTGTTTCAGGTGTTTCTGCTGCTGAACGAGATAAAGTGAAGAGAAAGACAGTAAAGGATGGAGAATCTGTCACTTTATTCACTGGTGTAATAAAAAACCCAAGTGATGTGATGATGTGGTATCATAATGACACTCTCATCGCTGAAATCACTGGAGATCAGAGTAAGATCTGTACAGATGTTCAGTGTGAAGAGAGATTCAGAGACAGACTGGAGCTGGATCATCAGACTGGATCTCTGACCATCACACACACCACAAACACACACTCTGGAGAATATAAACTACAGATCAATAACAGCAGATTCAGCATCACTAAGATCTTCAGTGTTTTTGCCAACGGTGAGGATTGTTGAGTCATTAAGTAGCCTACATTTTCTCATGAACAGGTTTACAATAGTTAATATATTTGTTATTCTTGTGGCATGTTTGAAAAACGAGCTATTACTCAATATTAAAGTATGTCTATCTCCTTTGCAAGCATGATCATATTCACATGTTTTGTCACTATCACAACAATCACATGGTTATGCAACAAAAATAACCACATATATCGATTGTGTCTAAAAAAATCGATTTTAGGGATGTTATTTAAAAGTTAATATTGTTAAAATGAATAAAATGAATATTGAAAAAAATAATAAAAATTAATTAATGATTGATTAAAATGAAGATTATACTAGACGAGTATATACAAACTAAACATTTTAGTATGGATACCTGTTACACATATTTTAAGCTGGATAGTTATATTTGAGGTATGAAACTTTTTATTAACCTCTTACATGTCTTAATATCAAGGAAGGTTTGATTTTTCCATTTCATGACGCCTTTAAATTACAAAAACTGGAAAGCGTAACAACCCTGAATCTCTGAAAAAGCTTGTGTGAAAGTTTTCCTTTATAATTTATTCACATGTACACTCAGATTTGCTGATGTTTTATAATGTTTGTTACAGATCAGACTAATGACTGTCTCCCATTCATTACAGATTCACATGAAGAAACTCCACTGCATCTTCGTTTAGGTGTCAGAATTATAGAAATATGTGGTTATGTATTCCTGGCACTGCTGGTCGTGACTTTAGCCGCATGCCTGTTTTACTATCTTTATTGGAACCGCAATCAAAACAGACAAAAGTGTAAGTATTTCAGCTGACAGTTACTGTAGTTTTGTACATCAGTGATGCACAATGAAATATAAGTTGAAATATATTACAGACGGCACTTTTGCTGTATTCTGCTTTAGATTGATGAACTATAAATATACGTGTATATAGTTTTTAACACCCATTTTTTTAACAGTATGACTATTTTTGATCAAATAATGCAGCCTGGTGAACATAAGAATATTTGTAAAATATTTTTATAAAAAACTACGGAAAAATCACATTGACCCAAAACTTTTGAAATGAATATACTGTATATATATATATATATATATATATATATATATATATATATATATATATATATATATTTCGTATCAATTCCGTTTCAGTATTTTTCAATAATTCAACAGTCATTTATTCTGTTTCCACTTTTCTTTTCTTTTTTCTGTATTTCAATACATTTTTCATGCTTTTGCTCTTGTGTGTAGATCTAGCTTATTAGTCATTTTAGAGCTAGTAACAGATCACTAGTGGAAAATTGTATTTAATTGCTTGATAAAAGTACCACTACACTGAAAAATGTAATGTAGGTTTGAAACTATTAAATTAATAAGTTTGTTGTTTAATGGTCAGTAAGTGATGATCTGCTGTGATTTTGTTCCTCTCTCTTATTGTTAGTTGTCTTCCTCTGATTTTGCAGATCGAATGGGGATAGATTTGAAGATTGAGGGACAGTCTGTCTTTCTACACTCTGGTATTAAAATACAGAAAGGTGATCACGTGAAGTGGATGTTTGGAGATAAAAACATTCTCATAGCTGAAATCACAGAAGAGACACAGAATAGAACAGAGTTCAATGTATATTATGATGCTGCAGATGAGAATTTCTTAGACAGACTGGAGCTGAACAAGAAGACTGGATCTCTGATCATCAGGAATAGCAGAGACACCGACTCGGGAGAATATAAACTACGAATCACCAGAAATGGAAAATCCTCAACCAAGAGATTCAGTGTTACCGTCTCTTGTGAGTAATTCAAATCTTTCAATGGACTATGAATTTGTATAAGATTAATCAGATTAATGTGTAAAAAAAATAATTGTAGATACTATCGAAGCCCTAAATCAGTCCATGAGCGTGCACAACTCTGGTTGCAGTTTCGCTTGTCGCCTGAGGGGGCGTAGTTTTGCAAAAACTTAAAGACTTGCACAATGCACCTTTAATATAAGAAATATATTTATATTCTTTTAATGCATTCTTCCCTGTTCATTTGTGCAACATATTTTATTGGTCAGAAAATTTTCACCCATTACATGCACTGCTCATTATAATTGTGTTTGTTTTGTTTGTGTTTTCCTTTAGGCTCTTCTGAACCCATAGTAATTCTATCTGATCAAATTGAGTTCCCTGAAATCAAAGTGCAACCACTTCAGTATGTATGAATCCACCATGTATGTATACCTTTGGATGAAGCTCTATGTTTAATAACTTGTGTGCTCACACTGATTTATAGATCAACCCTAAATCTTCTTTATTATAATCCAAGTATTTGCACAGTGTGTGATTTAGGGCTGAACATATTAACCTGAATGTCACATGTTTGAGTATGTCACTTGTTCTTCTCCAAATATTAGTTTAGACATACAGTATTAAAAGTGTGTTTAACAGACGCGTGATTTAAAACCACATTTAGCCTGCATCTTTCTCTGCCTGAATCTGATGTGAAAGTTTTTTTTCTTTGCAGAAGTTATCTGCAAGTTTGAGTTTGTATTTTATTTTCTGTTTGATTTTTATTTAACACAGTCGTCTTGGGATGAGACTGCGCTGTTTTATTTCAATCTCAGTGCCTTGGTTTTTCATGATACCATGTTGAAGATATAATGACTATATAAAGTTATCTTTATCTTTCCACTCCTTTCACATTGTTTAATTATTGATGATATGCCTGTTGCCCCCCTTTCCTGCCTGTCTGTTTGTTTGAGTGGATGTTATTTTATTTCTAAAGTCAATAAGGAGTTGATCACATAAAAAAAAAAATTGAACCAGGAGAAGTGGCTGGTATTATCCTATGAAATTAGAGACAATGTGCTAATTATGGTTAAAATAATTAAATATAAAATATTTAAATGCAAATATAAATTGATTGATAAAAACAATGAAATTAAAATTACTTAAAAAGAAGGGAAACTCTGGCCTAAGTCTTCTGTCTGATCTCACTTATTTTCTTTCTTCTTTCATTTAGTTTAATTATATGTGTTACTATTATTTGTGTTTGATGCATTGGGATGGGATTTTTACACAGAGATTGGTATGTCTATTAGTAAAATCTGTCGATCGTTGTTGCATATGCCAACAGTGACAGTTCAAAAATGGCACTTGTGTTTTTCCCCTAAATGTGCATGCTTGTAAAGATGTATTAAAATATCTTAATATCCTTTTAGTTTTTTGTTCTTAACAAACTTTTCTTTTGGTATCTTAATTTTGAAGGCGCTATATATTTTAATTCCAGAAATACTGGGATTTCAAAGTAAGTCAAATTGTACTAATTTTTAGTGGTCAAAACCAAATGTGGGTCACTTTGCACACAGCTGATACTCTACTGATACTGTGAATTTCTTTTAAAAGGGGGCTCAGCCTCAATTCACAATAATGTACGACTTGTGCTTGGCATGTTGGATTATAATTATTGAATTGTAGATTTAATAATGATTTAGTAGTACCCAAACATATAAACAACCCAGTGTCACATGTATGTCCTGTGTTTTCCCCATTCTTTGTGTATTTGGTTCAGTCCTGTTTCCATTTTCCCATTCCTTGTTAGTGTTTAGTTAATTCACCTGTTTACCTACCTGTCATTATCAGTTCATTTGCCCCAGATAGGCCTATCTATGTCTTGTTTCTCTGATCTGTTCTCTGTGTGTTTCAGTCTGTTCCTTGTGTAACAGGGTTAAAAAGAACCTTTGATTTAAAATTTTGTGTGAATTTCATAAAATAAGGCATTTGGGTGTATTCATTGGTGTTAGAAGGCTCCCCTCCTGTGGCTATTAATGGTACTGCAGATATTTGATTTTGTCGCTCTTCTCTTGCCGTACCACAGCAGATTCAAGTGTCGACGCTGTGGGTATGTATGGTTTTTCATGCTCTGACGCATTAACAAATTAATTGTGAAAATGATGCGTTTCAAGTGAATCTTTTTGACTTAATACATTGCATACATATATGTGAACATATGGATAATGCATTTTGCACTTTAACACGATTGTTGAGAGTTTTATAAGATGTATTGAATTTACATGTGCGTCACATGTGCGAGCACGGATTCATTTCTTGTGATTATTGCGTCTGTCTTAACTATCTGACGATTTTTTGTATTATGAGTTAATTGAATGTGTAATCTTTATCTTTCTAGTCCATATGAATGTCTGCAGTCTGTCATCAGCCACAATGTAACTTTTCTTTCTTGTTGTTTCCAAAAAAAGATAAACTGAAGCTGAATCCCATTTGTGAGTGTCCTTTCACATCCGTTACACTTGTCTGTTGTTGTTACTATATGCTTGGTTGTTCTACTGGTTCCTGGATATCTGAACCTGCTTCAACCAAGCCTGTGACACCCAAAAAGACTCGGAGCCTGCATCTATCCACAAGTTTCCTACGCCCCATGAGGCCTTGCGTCAAAAGTGAGCGCGACTTCCGGTTGGAAGTAAACAAAGCACGATTTGACATGCTTGACACTCGTTCATTCAACAGTTGACAGTCATTCAAGTTATAGCGATCCAAACTAGCTAACGATGTGTGAACATAATCTCAACGAAATTCAAAAGGGTGAAATAACAGTGCCTTTACCCTCCGCAGTAGTTGATTGGGAGTATTATAATTAACATTATTAATAATCAATACTCATCAAGGCATGGTGACAGACAGGTGTGCGAGCTGACAAACAATTAAAATAAAAAATACACACTAGTCATTGTGCTTTGGAGTTTATTCAAAATTATAAATGAATGTGCTACTTGAATACATTAACTGGCACATTTGGTATTCTGTCAACACAGGCTTTGATCCTGAGTTTAGGTGCAACATCAGTAACTTAGAGAACAGCCAAACACATGCTGATAAAAGTTTATAGAATATTAAGAATTTAAACAAATGTACACAGGAAGATTGAAACTTGTGGATAGTCCCCCACCGAGAGTCCCGCATTCTCAGACCCCTCGTTTTTCGAACACAGCGCCTCCTGCTGTTCGAAAGATCGTGCTACTAAACCATGAGTTTCCTCATTGTTTTAGCCAAATCTACATTGGGTGTTTGACTTCAGCTGGATTGAACCGGTGAGATTTCCTGCATTCAGTTGAGGAGGAACTTAAAACAGAGACTTTAAGTCAAACAAGTTCTGCTTCCTAGAGATGTTTTGCGTAGGCGTAGGCTCACAGAGATAAAAAAAAAAAAAAAAAAAGCCACAACGATTTTCATGAGACTTTCATTCAGTACTTTGTTTAATGGTTAAAACAGCGCTTGTGCGTGCAAGAATACAGTTCAACATGAGACCATGAATACCAATAAAGTGGTGCTACATATTTTATGAGTTTTATTTTGATAAACATGACTCAATGTTACATTAAGATAAGGCTACATTAAATAAGTTTTTACTGTTAGTCAATATTGGCTGCGTCTGAAATCGCATATTTCCCAATTCTATAGGCAAAAAACAGTATGTGACAAAAGAAGTCTGAGTAGCCTACTCAAATAAGAGGGGGCGTGGCTTTCTGGAGAAACGAATGAAACAATGATAGATTAAATTGAGATTTTCAACAATCGTACTTTAGTCTTTCATGCATTTAAAAATGTCTAATTTTCTACTCATAAAAAACAGTAATAATTAAGAACAGTTAAAAAAAAACATGAGATGATCATGACAGAAGCCCATTCATCGTGTCTGACATCTTATAAAATCCAGATGAAATCAACACATTAGTGAATTAATGTGATTAATATAATCACAGTGCTGCTGTACCTGCACATGTGTGACAGAGTGTGTTGATGTCCAATAATTGAAAAGACTCTGTTGACTTCTTGAGATTTTGTTCAGTAATTTGTCTCTGTACAGGCCGCCATGCTAGATTTGAGTTGAATGTTGTCATTTGTCCTAGAAGTTGCCAGTGTGATTACTGAAATGTTCTCTTCATGTATTCTCTAATGTCTGTATTTGATATGTGAATGCAGTAACAGTGCTTGCTCATTCAGCCTGACTTCCAGAAATGAAATAGGGACTTGTTTTGTGTTTGGGCAGTCTCAGTTTTCACGAAAATCAGACTGAAACTTCACTTCTCAAATCCAAAACATTATTTAGCTGGTTCGCAACAAACTTTTCTAGAATTTTAAAGGTGGGTGGGATTTTAGGGTGGGACCTTGATTAATTTATGGGGCCCTAGTAAAACACACACAAACTGATGTATGTGTAGCCAGTGAGAGGCCAGGGGTGTTTTTGAGCTGGCACCTGAAGGGAGGCCTATAGAGAGAGGTCCAATCTTTTGTCTAGACCAAGATGGCAGCACATCCTCGTGTGTTGGTGCACAGATTCGGTCTGGGTGAGTGTTAAGCGAATATTGGCTGTTTGGTTTTATATTACAAAGCTTTTATTCACTGAATTAGATGTTTTAAATGCAGACACAAACTCTGTGTTGTACACGTCCATGTTTGTTTGTGTGTGAGCGTGATCTAGCAGATGGACTAGAAAAACAGAGATTGTTTTGTTTCATATTTATGAAGTCTTGTTTTACTAAATTAGGCAAATGTTTCTAATGCAGACGCAAACATTGTGGATTTGTAGGCCGGTTGGCACGTCCATTCCTATTTTAATCTTGGAAATTTGAGGATTTTATACAGTGTTTGTGAGAGTCTTGATTTATTTTTCTAATGAGATTGTAAAAAGTACGGTTTGTGGTTATTGTTGGGTATTGTTAATTGTGTTTTTGTATTAGGTTTAGTTGATCGCTGTTCCTCTTGTGTTTTAGTTTGATTCCTCGGCTAGCCAGTACCATGTGCGCGCTGTATGCCTCCAGCGCAATGCGGTATGCATGTGAATCGGATTGGCAAGTAGGGAGTTTTGAATTTTTTTTTTAGTTAAGTTAAAGGGATACTCCACTTTTTTTTTTAAAATAGGCTCATTTTACAACTCCCTCAGAGTTAAACTGTTAAGTTTTACCGTTTTCGAATCCATTCAGCCGATTTTCTGATATTTAGAAGAATATCAGTAAACAGACAGTTTCTGGTCTCATTGACTCCCATAGTATATTTTTTTCCTATGGTATTCAATGAGACCAGAAACTGCCTGGTTACTGATATTCTTCGAAATATCAGAAAATCGTCTGAATGGATTCGAAAACGGTAAAACTCAATTGTTTAACTCTGGGGGAGTTGTAAAATGAGCCTATTTCCAAAAAAAAGTGGAGTATCCCTTTAAGATTACGTATTCTAAAACTTAAATACTTATTTTGAACCGTATTAAATTAGATTTTCTTTTTTTAAGGAAATATGAGTAGTGCCCTTAACATTTGTTTTACTAGTAAATAGGATACAGAAGCACGCCTGTAATTGTGACTCACCATATACAGTAACATTGAATCTGATTGCGGTCCTTCCCCCGGTGCGATTGATGGTCACATTATAAAGTCCAGAGTCTGTGGTTGTGGTGTTTGTGATGGTCAGACATCTGGTTTGATGATCCAGCTTCAGTCTGCCTCTGAATCTCCCATCAGGAACATCATATATGGAGAAGATATTTTTATCTTTATCGATTTCAGCTATTTTAGTGTTTAAAGGTTCAAACCTCCATGTTATCAGATCATGTTCCTGTAATTCAGTAACACCAGATTCTAGAGTGACTGACTTTCCCTCCATCTCTGAAACGATCTTCATTGCACCATCAGCAAACACTGGAGAACACAGACAGTTTCTCAGTCACACGATGAAGTTCTCGTTACAGTAAAATAAATATCTTAACATTGGTTTAATCAAGCTTCAACTTTAAGCTTGTAGGTTTGAAATGATCCCAAACTTTAGTTTTGGCTTTGGGGTTGGTAGATGCTTTGAAATAAAAGTGAGTATTTAAGCTTTGGCTCTTGCTGAACTTCAACATCAGAAGTGAAATCAAGCTTTACAAGGCAAAATATGACAGCGGTGACAGATCTGTTTTGGGTTCATTTAACTAGACATCAGCATCTCGGGCTTTAACAACATACATTTAAAGTTTTGTGAGGCCGATCATCAGTCATGATCTTATATAGTGTAAATGAACACCGTTTGTGTTTGATGCCCAAAAATCTATTTATTGAATCAAAACACAGATCTCTTTATTTTTTATTTTTCACTATCAGGCCAACGTTTCAAAACTCTAAAATTACAACAAACTATTTCTTCTGTTATTCTGTTATAGACCATTTCACAAGATGTAAACCACACTGGTCCAGAAGCACTTCCTGTTTTAGTTTGTAACTGTTTTCTTTATTTCACATGTAAAGAAAACATCTTAAAGATGTTTATTTAACTTTTTGATTCAGTTTTAAATGTTCTGTTGATTGTATTTTATCCCAGCTTTTATGTAGTGTTATGTAGTGCTTCTGGACCAGTGTTGTTTACATCTTGTGAAATGGTCTATATTTCTCAAATGTATATTATCAACACATGAGCTATATCAGTGTTCATCAAAACACAATATAATGATCTTTCAGATTGTCATTTATAATGATCAGTTATTATAGTAATTAAAGAAAGACACTTGTTGACTGAATCTCTAGGAACTGAATGAACAGTATTACAGTTCAGTCCCATTACAAACACACTTACTGTACATTACCTGATCTAATAAATCATAGCAAGTTATCCTGCATTATACAATAAGCGTTGGAAAGTAGAAAAGTGCATTTTTGTTTAAGATTTATGCCCTTTCTGCTTTGAAATTCTGATGGGACAGAATCCTGTTATTTCTATTGCAGAACTTTCAGATGGAAACAGCCGAGGGACTTTTATAACACTAAGACTTCAGATTTCATTCATTACAGTAAGATGCCAGTAGAAAACTACGCAAACACAGAGATATCTTAGTTTGATTCATGATTCTGGTACACTTGAAACTATATATATATATATATATATATGAAGAGTTCAGATGCAAAAGCCTCTAAGTGCCATTTGAAATTTTCTTCTAGAATGATCATTTTTATCAAGCTTGTATATTTAAGTTCAGTAATTTCACTTAAATTGCTATTATAATTACCTATTAATTGTCATTTAAGTGAAATTACTGAACTTAAATATACAAGCTTGATAAAAATGATCATTCTAGGAGAAATTTTCAAATGGCACTTAGAGGCTTTTGCATCTGAACTCTTCATTTATATATATATATATATATATATATATATATATATATATATATTAAAGTAAATAAAAGTTTTGAACTTACCAACCAGACGCCAAAAGCACAAACAGCAGAAAACAAACGAGTGAAACATTTTCTTCCTCAGTTCAGAAAAGGGGAAATGTTTAAAGTCCTGTAGAGAGTCTACTGAGGTGAAAACTGCTTCAGCCTGTGTTAATATGTGTGTGTGTGTGTGTGTGTGTGTGTTAGGGGTGGTACTTCAATTTACTCTATTGGTTTATGACCACTCACACTATTGTTTGGACTACATTCATTTATTAATCTCATTTACTTCTAAATTTCAGCATTAACCAGAAATAGCATTTAATCTAATCTGCAGTTACAACAACAAATAAATAAATGTATTTCTCTGAAAATATTGTGTAAATGTGGTGGTAAAAGTATCATGACTTAAAAGTTGGACCAGTTAGACTTAAAAAACAGGATCATGAGTAGTTGAGTGAGTTATAGTTCAGTTTTCTATTCAAAATAAATGAAGCTGAATTTTTGAAGTAGTTCACTATGTTTTTCTAAAAACCTTGAATTGATTATTTTATATATTATTTGATTATTATTGATTATTACATTAAGCAAAATTAATGTTGAATCACCGTTACTCCGTCGATGAAAACCTGATGTTATTAATGTTGATGGAATGATATTGGAACAACATTGAGTTATCTTTATGATTGATTAAGCATTGATATTTGGTTTACCGGGCGATCGTTGAATGTGTTAAAGTCATTGATTTATAGTTGACCGGGAAATATGATTGAAAATCAATAGATTTTTGGTTGACCGGGAGATCAACGGGTGTTTAACCAACGTACACCGGACCCACTGCTCATTTCTGGACCCTTGGCACCAGCATAAAGGTAAGCTTGCTTAATGTTTGAAATGACTGAATTGTACCAAATCAAACACTGTCAGGCTGTTCGTTAACATGATGGTTGGTGTAGCAACGCAGACGCAGTGATAAATAGATTTTTGTTGTACCACTGTGTCAAAATTAGCTGACGCCTGTAATTTAAATGGTTCAATTATTGCAATGTAATTGAACTTTAAACACAATTACGCACTACCAAATCTTCCCCTTATCTCGTTTTCTTAAAAACATTTAATTTTAACATGTATGCTCTCTTAATGCAACCATATGCAAAGCATGCTGGGAACTAACAAGCACCACCCAGTTTCAGTTAATGAAGCACAAATCATTCATGTAATCCAACACAAACGGATTAAGTAAACTTAAATGTTTTATATATTTAAAGGGATAATCCACTTTTTTTGGAATTTCGCTTTTTTTTTTTTTCACTTTTTCCATGGAAGTCAATGACCAGAAACTGTCTGGTTACTGATATTCTTCTAAATATCAGAAAATCGGCTGAATGGGTGATAGGATACTCTCTTGCCCTGTTTGTATTCATTTAAATGACAAATAAATGACAAAAAAGGCCATATCTGTATGAGAACAAGCTTTTTCACTTCAAGCTGTAACCCATAAAAATGTGATTTTATTCATT